CCTGCTCTCTGTCTGAGCTGAACTGCAGATTGTACCCCCACCTTTTACTGCCTGGGTTAACACAGCATTGCAGGGCAGATGTGCTGTAATGCAATTATCTTACAGGGAAAACTGAAGACCTAAAGCTGTCTGCCTCTGCAGGGCAGTGAAATGGAAAATAAAGTGTCAGATATATTATATCATGATTATACTTAAAATTGCTGTTGTCAGCAAAACAGTGATTCCAGTCAGATACTCATTTCCATGCAATAGAACACTACTGGTGATCTAACTAGAAAGTATCTTCACATATTGGTTGTAATGGCTTTCCTGCCTTTTATTGTAAAACTGTATCAGTTAATTTACTGGAAATTTCTTGTTCCTGAACAGGGTGATATGCCCAGAAGACATCTTTCTTGAGTAAACCAGTTAACTTCTGCAGTGGACACTTCAAATAGTATAAACTAAAACTATGATACCTCAGACTTAAGTTTAAAAACTTCTATGAGACAGGATCAATTAAAAATGAAAATGTCCATTTTAATACCGGTTAAACTAAGTACTTTTTTCTATGCTGTGTACAAATCAACATGTAAGTTTTATTTCTAGGTTAAAGTCTCCTTACTTGTTTCTGCAGTGATAGAAACGCTGGCTATGTGAATTTATGGACATGGCTATTTATGAGCTGATAAAAGGTATGTAGCATATGCTTAAGAAGCACACAAATTCTCCTTGTGTAGATCACAAAGTGGAATTAATTATGTTTCACTTGTTCACTGTTACAGATTATAAAACTCACAGGGAAATGTTGTGCTGTACTGCTTTTCCCTTTAGCTCTTGTCAGTGGAATATACCCACTTGTTTAAGGCATGAATGCAGATTTCTCATCAGGTCCATGGCCATCTATTCTACAGTCAAACAACCTTGACTGCAAAAGAGAAAATAATTGCTTTATGTAACAAAAAATAAAACTTAAACAGGTTCTTGTGGGTCTCTTCTAACTTTGCATATTCTGTGATTCTGTGATTTGTTAGGGCAGGACTTGCAGTGAGGTAATAAGAAAATTATTCCCATTTGTTTCAAAACTATTGAACCAATGAATAATGATTTTCAGTTTTTATATCTAGTAAAAATGCCTTTTACCAAGTTTTCTTTATAAAATAACATTGTTCCCTGAAGCCACCATTATTTAAAAATTCTGGAGCTGTTTGTGGAAGCATGTCAGAGACCACAAAGCTTAAGGAAGAGTTCTTACAAAAAAGTTTAGAACAAAATCTGATTTAAAACCAAATCTTGTATAAACACTAACAGAGAAAGTTACAGCAAATGAAGGGGCATATACTTACAATTCATTATCAAAAGAGGATTTTTTAAAATGAATAATTAAGAATTTTTAATGTCTTAACAATTGGGAGATTATTTTAAATAACTGAGCACACAACTGTCATTCAGTGTAACAGAACAAAGACTTGCTCCTGAACATGACATTGGTGACACTGAGCATTCAGGTCTCTAACAAAAGGAGTAACTCTCTTTCTGACCTACATAAGAATGTGAGATTAGAATACAGTTGTTTGCTGATGACTGAAGGAGACATTAGTGTTTGCTGGTTTTAATTAGACATTTTGTTTTTACAGGGTAGATTTGTTATCCTGAGAAGTCAGAGTAATTGTATATTTATTAAAAACAATCCTGCATCTTCTCCTTCCAGGAAAGATACTGTACTGTACTTCATTTATAAAAAATCAGAATGTTTAAGTTTGTTCTTTAACTGCCTTTTTTTTTTTTTTACAACAGAGTACTTGCATTCATTTGGTTACATTTCTCAGTGTTTCTCTCCTTTTCATGTGAAAAAACCTGCTATACCAGCATTGTATTCAGATGAAAATTAGAATCATAGTTTCAGTATGTTCTGGTTTTGCTTTGTTTGTTTTTTTTAATACAGTTTTTATCGAAGTCAGGTTTTCCATAAGAAGATTATCTTTCTACCACTTAGTTTTAATAACCTCCTGATTTCTATGGCACGATGAATCAGTTAAAAATGAAATCTATGTTCAGTAGTAATCTGAAATGCTGCAGTTAGGGGTTATCTGAACATTAATCTGGGTCTACCTGAATTTCTTTATATCCTGGTTTTGTGTCTGGACTGTGTTTCCCATGACACAGTGTCTTTTTTTCATGTTGTATGAGGTGGTAGCACATGGGGTGGAGCTTGTCAAATCATGGAATAAAACAGGAAAATGAACAACAGATTCCTATGGAGATTATAATAAATACCCAAAAAAGTATTTTGATATTCTGAAGTATGCAAGCATTTAATCTGTCTCAGGTATAGTGCATTTTTAAGAAATTAATTTTGGAGTTAAAAGTAAATTTTCATTTACTACAGTTTCCTATGGGGCAGAAATAGTTTTTTATCCATTTTCTCCCCAAACAACTCTAGTTGTGGCTTCTTGCAAAGTCAAGAAATGTAACAACAATAAATACAGCAAAGGGTCCAGGTACGTAATTAATCTGGAAAAATAATCTTATTCTGAGCCAGAAATCTTATTTCTCAGCCTTACTGACTGAGGATCTTTACACAACAATGGCAAGTAGAAGGAGCTCCTTTGGAATTTTCAGCAGTGTGATTTGAAGGAGTGCATTACTAATTTGTAGAACAATTAAATTGTTCATTAGCGATGCTGTCACAAAACCATTTGCAGAGGGTACAAAAGTAGTTACATTTCAGAGGAATTGTAGTCTTTGCTAAGTTTCTACAGTAACACGAATGCCTGTCATTTCCTGACTGCTCTGTCTTGCAAAATCAGCTTTAATGTAGGTGCAGAACAATTTAAAAAATCTTTACATTAGAAAGATTTAGAGGCAAGCATGGTTTGTACAATATTTTGTAATGAAGAAAAACTTGAAGCAGGAGTTGACTGAAAATGAATTTTTAATTTAACAAGGTGTATGGAGACACTTGTATAATTAGGAGAACGGGTCACTGTAATGCTACTAATGTGGAAAGTTGATACTTTTGGTTTTTTCCTTAATAAACCAAGAGATCCATGTTACTTCAATCAAGACAAGGCTATTGGTCTTTACATGAAGTCATAATTCTCTTGCTGTTAATTTACAGTGGAATCACAAGTCATTTAATAACTGAAGAAGAGTCTTGCCCTTTGTTTAATCAAGAGCAGTTTGGTCATTTAAAGCAACGTAACAAGTATGTCTCAGAGAGAGGTGTGGGGGATGCCTCAAGTGAAATGACAGAAGACTCAAGTGCCACTACCTTAGGATTCACTTCACCATTACTGCCAAATAGGGTTTCTCTAATGATAAATTTGGAAGCAGAGGAGCATCTGCTCCAGATTCTACTAGTGAACTGTAATGAAAAAGCAATTGAGCATGACTTCTTTTTATGAAGGCCTGATTTCTTAAATACTAATAATAATCCCAATTGATTTGAGTAGCAGCATTTTATAAAATCTTTTCTATTATAAATGACAAAAATCCTGACGTTTAAAGCACCGTTTATCTCCACGGGGGCACTACCACTACAATTCCCAATGTAAGTGGTACTGTGCTCGAAGTGCTTTGTGATCTAATCCTGCTCAGTGGATTATGTGCCTGCCTGGAGGAGCCCTGTAATCAGTTGGGAACACAAGTCTGGCTGCTAGGACTGGTGGCCTCAATGAGTTACTGTCCTGATAATCTCCCTCCTCCTCCCCAGCCAATTACTCATACTACTGTCATCAGGCAGATCAGTACCTGCTTTGTTTTTCAAAAATGTGATCATTTCTGCCTCCCTTGATGGCATTGCAGCGTTACATAAAGGCATTACAGCAAGATTAAAAGGCCTTTGGAGCCTATAAAAGAAAAAAGCTGAGCAGTTACTGAATGGCTCTGAAAAATAGATAAATTTTATAACTGTAATTATTACCTAACAGCAACAGCAAGCTAAACTACACTGGTTAACCTTTAATTTGCAATTCAAATGTGAATCACAGTCATTCAAGCACTGCAGTAACTTGAGGTGATTGATATGAATCTTGAACCTTAAGGACAATTGCTTTGTGTAGAGAGGAAATTAGATGTTCAGAAGTGAAATATTGCAGTTCTGTTGGAACTTGGGGGAACAGATACTGCAATAAATACATGCAGTAAAAACTAAGGCAGCTTACAGACTCTTGAATTGACAGTTGTTAGCTGAGCTATTCTGGTGCACACTGAAATCTGAATTATGTCTGAAGTTGAGTGGAAGATGGATTACAAAGCTAGCTATAAATGACAGAAATAGTATAATTGAAAAAGGTGATATCAGTGCATCTGTGGAAACTGAAGAGTAGAGTATTTGTATTCTGTTCTTTACTAAAAAGGACTTACACAACTTGAAATTTTATTCTAGGAAGGAGAAAGCTATTGCCTGAAAAAAAAAATTAAGAACAACATGTACCAGTTATGCAAATCTCGAATGCGCACATAGGTAAGAGACCTGGTTCAGCAACAGCACATGTAGCACATATTTAGTTCAGGGTATTTCTAAGCAGAGACATAGAACTGTCTGGGGCAGCAGCAGACACCTGCAGGGAGAGAAGAGGCCATTGCCCAGATGCATCTTTGCTTGCAGCAGAGCCCTGGAAGGCATCAGGCAGCCCGAGCTGCTGCCAGCACCCCAAAGGAGCTCCAGGACCTGTGGCAGGAAGCCCTCCTGAGAGGGGGTGGCCCTTGCAATCCTCAGGTAGTCCTAGTGGGAGCAGAAGCAGAAAGCCTGGCATCCCCTTCCTGGACTTGCCTGTTCCCCATTCCAATACCTGTTGCTGTTGTCTCACCACAGTGGCAAAACTAATTTTTTTACTATGCTGTTGATAAGTTTGAAAGAACTCTTAATTTCTCTAAGTATTTTTTTTTTACAAATAACTGGAAGCACTGATAATGTTTATCTTTTTACTGAATTCTTCTCTCTGGTGTGTTTATATTACTACAGAAACAGAATATTTCAGAGAGATGTGAAATCAGAAAAAATAATAAAGGTAATTATTTCATGTGAGGATATTTAACTCTGAGAAGGTAATGTTTCTTTATGAATAAAGGTGCAGTTTTAAAAAAATACATACACAGTTACCTCTAATACTGTATTCCTGATCTCGGGGGATGAACCAGCAAGCTCGTTACTAGCTAAAACCTGACATAACTCAGGTGTATTACAGCCTGCATGTATTCCCTCCAATCTAAAAACCTGTTCTTATCCTCTATTAATATATATTTTCCTTTGTGTTAACCTAGATACAAGTAGTAGGGCTCAGTTCTGCAGTTCTTTCTTTCTACATTCAATTCCTACATTTAGAGGAAGTTATACAAAAGTGAGAAGACATTGGCTTTCAGAAGATTTCTTCATTGGAATAATTTCTCCTGATGGTTTCAGAAGGTTATTCTGCTAAAAGTTTGAAAAGCAAGGCTTTTTAAATTCAGTTTATGCAACTTTATTTTCTGGAGGTAAATTTTTCTTTTAAGTCACAGAAGTGTACAGGAGAAGCCAAAACCACCTATTATATCACTGCTAAACAGAAGAGCTCTAATAACTTAATCTAGATGTCCTATTTAGCAGCCTTCCCTTCAGTAATAGTCCATATGCTCTTCAATTAACTCTTAGGTCTTTCTTTTAATGATGTACAGAACGGTATATGCACATACTGTGGGACAGAGATTACCTTCAAGCCTGGAGCTACTTGCTATTTAAAAGGTATTTACTTGCTATTTACTGCTATGATACCCCTGGTATTTTGGAAAGTTTCTTCTTAAAGTAATCTGTCATTTCTTTTATGATGACTTCACACATTTAAGGAAAATACTTGATTGAATATTTCGCTGTTTGTAGTTTGCTGAAATTCATTACTTGTTTTTGCAGCAGAATACCTTGAAGTTGGGAGATTTTGGATCCTGTAGGGTATCTGTTCTCAGCAGGCACATATGGGCTGTGCCTCCCCACGCTGGTACCAAACACCTGAATGTTTCCTTGCAAGTGGCCACTAAAGTTACAAAATGGGTATGTGCAGTGCTGGCTGTGTTTTCTGTGAAATCACAAGGTACAGTGTTCAGTGGAAGGCTTTTCTTATTGTTATTCAAGATAATCAAAAGTAAATAAATTAAGGGCACGTGGTAATATGATCTTCGTTTCCATGGATTTGTGGAAGCTTCTTCTGTGCTTAATCTGCAGGGTTCATGAGGCAGTAATCCGGTCTGGCCTGGCACTCTCTTCACCCTATGGCAGGTTAGTAATAAAAGCAGTTGCATATTCAAGAGAACATAGTACAACCAACATTACAACCATTTTATTTACAAAGAAAATAACATTTTTTAACACTTTTTTTCCCCCAATGACTTCAGATTTTGTAAAATTTTACTTTTTCTGCTTTTCTCTGTATATACTATGGCTCATTTCCTCTCATGAGCATCACTAACTATTCTCAGTGTAGTTAATACACTTGGTGTATTCCCTCTTTTTTGACTTACTAATAGTTTTTGCAAAACTAGAGGAGATTAGAGAATACACTCCCTCTGATTTATGACTTTGATTTCTAGTATAGTGCATTTAAGACCCTGGTGCTGTTTAAGACCTCGTGTGCTGGGATATTTTGAAATCGGATTCTGATGAAGGAACAGTTCAGGAAAACCCAGATTAAACTCCTTTAAGCTTTTTGGTGATGATGAAACTATAACTCAAAAAATTTGTCACTAGTCTTCAAGAAAAAAGGAAAAATAACCACCATGAGTATTTCTCCAATATCTTTGTACCCTAGCAACAGCAGCAGTTCTTCTTTATTCTCCTCCCACACTGCTGTCTATGATATGCAACCAGGAGTGATAACATTTGCTTTGCTTCTTTCCTCCTCCTCCACATGGCAAGTGCAGCTGCTGCCATCACCATCACATTAAATGACAACCATTATGCTTTGCCTGCTAACTTGTAGAAACAGTTCTGCTTCGGCCAGAAAACTGTTAATAGAAAAATCCCAAATGTGGCAGAACTCTTGCAAGTAATTGGGACCAAAAGCCTTAAAAATGCCACGTTGTTTCATTTCAGTTTGAATCAGGTGGGCTTTGAAGTTTGGCAAGAAAATTACACACTGCAAACTCTCTAAGTTTTCTTAGGGCAAAAAAACCCCTTAAAAATATTTCCTTGTAATTTTAGCTTAATGTAAAAAATTTCACTTCTTGCAACCACTGCACATTTTCAGAGACCTTATAGGTGTGCTCAGAGAGAAATGAGGGATGTTTATTGGAAACTGCCAAATTAAAGAGGTAGTCTTGCCAAGCTAGAGGATGTTATGGACAGGATTGTTTCGTTTTCAGTGTATCATGCAGTTGTTGCTGTTCAGTGTTTGTATAAGCCTTTATGCTTTTACACAGCATTGTGTAAGAACTTTTAGTCTTTTACTCAGCCATGCTGATCTTTCAAATCTTAGTTTCCCTCTTTCTGTTCCTTCTAAATCATGATTCCTGGATTGCACTTTTTCATGGCTTGCACAGTTGTTCTTCACTATGTTACAGTTTTACATTCAAAGACAGCACATTTTTTTGTTCACACAAGCTACTCCCAGCTGCTTGTCTTGATACAGCTGCACAACGTGAATCAGATTTTTTCTCTCCTTCCTCAACTCAAAGCTTTATGAAGACATTCAGAGTAGTGTGCAGCCAGCTGTTTGATTGAATTTGCAAACAGTTAAAAAGAAGTTTACTCTGTCTACAAAGAGGGCCGAATGATTTGCTTTCAAGAGTCATATGGTGCTGCTGAAGTGTTTCTTAAATTATAAGCCCAAGGAAAAAAGTAACATGTACAGGAAATGAATGGTAGTGGACCTGACTAAAGTCAGATTGCTCTGTTATGATAACAGTGTTTTCAAGGACTCTATACAAGTTTTATATTACTTGAGGATCAAGCTCAGGAATGCAGTTCAAATTACCATCTTTCCAGTATTCCTGCTTGCAAAGAACCTGTTTGTTAGGAATAGAGTGTGATAAATATGTACTTCTATGTGCATATATAGCAAGAGGGACTGCTTGACTTGCTGTCTTAAAATGAGGAAACCCCATTGTCTTCTGGGATCTGCCACTTTACTAGAAGCAAACAAAATCCCAGATCCATTGTCCTTCACCAAGAGGGATGTTCTCTTTACATATTTTACCCAAACCAGTGAGGAGAGTTTACAGCTACAAGTTTCTGTTTAAAAACCCAAACTACTCTTTCCATCCAAACCTGCAGTTGTGTTGCTCTGCTTCTCACGTTATCCATCAGTTGTTGGTAGGTATTATTAAACTGTCCACAGATGAGTAATTCTAACGTGTTATCTTCTTTAGAAATGATTTTTTTAATCAAAGTGGCAGCTATGCAACTAAACTAGTTTAACTGTGTCTTCTCTAGTGCTAATACCATCTCTTACCTTGCAGTTTTCTTGGACCTGATGAGCTGGACCAAATTTCAAAAATCCACATTATAGGCACTCTTGCTAAAACAACTCTCAAGAAGTTCAAGCAGTAAGTATAAACTCCCACAGTTATTAATCTCACTGTTTAAATATCTACAACAGAACTGTACAGCCCTGTGCAAATTCTGCTCCAGGAACCACCACAAACACCTCATTCTGTGCTGACCCAAGAGCAGTGTCTTCTATCCCTACCCAGAGACAGTCAGACCAGAGAAAATCTGAGCCTATGTCAGTCTTATTTGGCCTTTTATTTCCATAGTATCTTTAAGGCCAATGATGTAACATTTTAGGAAAGAAAACATCTTTTTCCTAAGTACTACTTACTTGTCCCTAATAAATGATTACCTAAATCTGATGAATTCTTTCTTTTCAGTAAATTGTAATCCTCTCTGAATATGCATGAATAATTTTTTCCTTAGCTTGCTTAACACAGGTCAAGAATTTCTAGTTTTGATTTCCCCTTTAAAAAAAAGGAAAAGGAAAACCTCCTCTAGTGCACAAATTGACTGCCAAAGGTTTCTCTCTCCTGCATACAATGATAAAATATGACCACAATTAGAGAACTGCTGCCCATCAAGCATTACAGCACCCTTATTTTCAGGAACTCTGGCAAGTGACTTCAAATCATTTCATTCTTGAAGACTAAAATCAGAAAGTTTGGGGAGTGCTGTCCTTACTTCAGCTGGATTGAAATGAAATTTGCTTCCAGGGCGAGTTCTTGGCTTGCAATACAATGAATGTAACTCAAGTCAATGTAATTGTTTGCCTTGAGTCCAAACCTCACCTAAAGCACAACTGATGTTTTTCTCTACTCTTTTTCCCCCAGACTTTTTAGGGCAGCTGATACACAAGCTTTGACCGTGCACAAAAAACTAAGATTATTAAGAAATACATAAGGGCGAGTACCTCTGTATTTGTGCCAAATTCCAAAGGCAAGTTTAAGACAGGTAGTATTTAAGTGGAAGAATTGTCAGCCCATTTAGAGAAAGTAATTTGTAGCACTGAGCTTGTTAGCTAGAAACAAATGTTTAACTTAAGCTGATTACTTGGGTTTATTCCGTCTGCCTAAACACAGATCTTTATTTGGTCTGATGCCTTTCCCCCTCCCCCCAAATCCCTGACATACATGAGTTAGAATTTAGAAGCTCTGATACCCCATAATCCCTTCAGTAGACTTTTGTCAGAGTTACCATTACTTAAAGGGTCAGCTCCACCTTTATTTTTAAATATAACCATCCTGGTTTTGCTGTCTGCCTTTGGCTTAAAGAGTTTGCAGATGAAGTTGTGGCAGAGACAGAAAGTGTGCTTTTGCCTTTTCAGGGCTTCAGTCTACATTTCGAGCAAATTTAGATGATATCTGGGGAAATCCTAAGCTTGTTTTTGACACAAAATAAAAAATTAAGATCTGATTAAAAATTCTGGCAAACTAAAACTTTGTTTATATACCAGCTATGTGAAAAAACTCAACGTATTCACTCTTAAGGGCTTGCTGTATCAACAAGGTGAGATGGAACTTAGTACTACATCAAAAACTTTCAAATACAGGTTTTTCTCAAAAAAAACCATGCTACAGTAGCAAAGAAAAATTATAAATTATTTTCTGCTGTGCATTCAACCTTGAAAGCATGAAATCTCCTTCCAAAGGAGAGTTTACTTTTTCCACCAGTTTAGGTCTGGAGTTCATCAATGTAGGCTTTGTAAGGAGTTCCTTTAGGAAAGATGGCAAAAAACATCAAGTGAGGCAAGTCATTTTTATAAAAGAATGAGCTGAAATAGTATTTGGCCACGGTTTGGGTTTTTTTCTCTGATTATTTGGATTTTCTATTTTAATTTTATTCCTTAAGATGTTCTCAGAAAAAAACCTGAACCTTGTTTATTTATTTTAAAAGCATTCTCTTAGGAAAGTCCAGGAAAAAAAAAAACAAACAACAAAACAAAATGGATCTCCTCTTGGAGATTTACCAAAATGAAATTCTTCTGGAGTAGCCAAATTGACTTCCTGTTCTACTCCTACACTGCACTCAGTTTTCTGGGCACCTGAGGAAAGTGGTGGAAACCCTGTGTTCCAGTCTGTTCAATTTATTGGATCAAACACTGAGGTGTAGACTCTCACTCGCCCGTTGAAGCGTATTTCAAACTTCTGTTGCTTCCTCAACAGTCTGAGAAACAGAAGGCATTTAAGTCTTCCCTGAAACATTTCCACTCGCCTGCTTTAGAAGGAAGAGTGAGGAAAAGCACGGCTGTGCAGTGAAGAGAGACCCAGTCGTGCGTCTGCTGTTAAACATCTAACAAGAACAGCAGTGCCTGGTTTTTTGTTGCTCTGACAATTTGTAGGAAAACCCCACAAGGTTTGAGGGCTGCTCTCCTATCATTTTGGTATTCTGTTCCTGAAGTGGGTCAATATTTAATTAAAGCATTGTTCTGGCAGAGCACAGAGCATTCTGCATTTAACTTCCTAAGTATTTGTTCCTTTTAGAACCTGGTGGAGGAGGAGGTTGGTTAAAAATAACATGAAAAGGATTCTTTGAGCTCAAGTATTAGGAATGGAATGTTATCTACAGAATGTAAGTTTTCAAATTACATTACCAATGTCAGCAAACTGCTGTACTTTTTTTAGATGTAAATTTTATTTCTTTTTTGGTCAGCTCTGGAAATTATTCTCCTCCTGTATTCAGCAACTTCCACCTCAGGTTTTACTGAGATTGTGCAGATTGTGCAATCATATGAGATACTTGGTTTTGATGCAGTTTCTGTAACTGTTGAGTATTTTTATGTAACTATAAGCTAGCTAAAAGCTAAACCAACTTTTTATCTGATTCGAAAGCAAGTAAAATTTAGTCATAGTTTGGTTCAAGCCATTGATCTGAACTTTAATCAAAAGTCTTAAGAGGGACTGATATTGCAGCCAGTGGCTTAAAAGCACAGTGAAGGCATGTAGTTCATCATACTTCAGAAATTTTGCACACAGATCATCAGTAACAATTTAACAGAATGTTAGTTTCCTATTGCTATAAAAGGTAAGAGTTAAAGGGCAACATCCTTATCTTCCTTGGAAAGAATTGTTATTCCAGCTTGATACCATTGATTTTAAAACTCCTGAGATCTAAAAATTTGCATTAATTAATTTGCAATACTTAATATTGGTGATGTGTTCCAGAACAGTTTTGTTATTTAGAAAACAAGAGTCTGTGCAAGTCAAACTCAGCTGGGGGGTTAAAAATCTTCTGCCTACCAAGTGTTTATGAAGGACAGGTTTGGCAAATAACTTTTTTGGGTTTTTTATAAATTATAGAAGTTAGTCTGCTCATAATTGGGAAGTGATCAGCGTTTTTTTCCATAACCAAACACTGGGGTTTGTTGCTGCTGTTCAAAAACCCAGCCATGAGCAGGAGGCAAAGGGTGTGTTGTGAGAGAGGCACCATGAAAAACACACTGGGGAGCACATCACATCCATCACATCCAAGCCTTAGGCATCAGTTTGAGATTACTGCTCTAAGTTCAAACTATTTATTTCTAATCAGTTAAGATGCAGCCCAAACAATGCAGTAAAATATAGGTTAACAAAAAGATATTGTAAAGATACAAGTCATCTAGAATAAAAATTATGCCCATTACGCTCTCATTAAGCTCCTTTTGTTGTGGTTTGTTGGTTGGGGTTTTTTTTTTCAGAAGAGGCCTCTCAGCACTTTTAAGGTTCTTTTGTGACTGGATTAGATCCTGTTCCTTGTTCTGCCTTTCAGATTCTGGGCAACTTTGAGCACACCCGAATTCCCCAGAATGTGGGGAAGCTCATGAGACTCAAGTTCTTTATGAGTCCTTTTGACATCTACTGCTTAAAAGCACTTGTCTATCTTATGTTTATCTTCATGTTTTGAAGAAGGTATTATTTTCACATACTGTACTGAGGATCAATGTGACATTTACTAGCAGGTTCTTTAAAATGTGAAAATATTCACAGGGTAAATGTGGTGGTGCATACTGTGGGAGTCATTTTTTTGTATTTATTCAAATTTGACTATTCAAGTTAAATATTGTGCACCTGCATCACGTACCTTTGTTCAATTTATTCTGTTTGTTCACTGCGAACTTTCAGAATCTCAAGAGCAAGAATGGAAAAATATCCCACCCTGGCAAGAATTCTTGTAAAATAAGGCTACAGCACTTAAACAAGGCTCTGCAGGGAAGCCTGTACTGCTGCTACTCGTCCTAGGTGTGCCAGAGGAAGAGCAGATTTCTCTTACTAGGACTGAACAAATACATAAGCTGAGTTTTAGTGGAGGAAGTGCTCTGCACCAGTAGAGTGAGAACATCAAAACAAAGGGAGAATTGAACAGCAGAACACAGTGGTACAGGTAACTGCTCTTTCTCATTTTATTAAAACCCATGTGGATGGATGCTGCTTTCCTCCAGTTCCAAACAGAAAATGTGCTCCTGACCAGGGTGTCTCCCAAGTGCAGTGAGGGTACATAAAATTACCATGACTGGATGAGTTTTCCTGCTCTGTTACATGTTCCAGTTAATCATCTCTCTACTTTGTCCTGCTTTTATGTTAGCACCTTATACTGATGGAGAACTTCAACCATAAGGCAATCCTGTATTTGTTTGAATAACTACCACAGGTTTATATATATATTAAATATATAAGATATATATATATATATATATATAAACTAGCATAGGTTTATTCATATGTATATATAAAAGAAAGGTGTGATACTACACTTAGGAAATGGAATTAAGGACTGCAAGTCTATAGGCAACACAGTGTAACAGCAGCCTCAGACTTCTTACCTTTGGAACTCTTGAGCAGAAGGTGCCATGAGCTTATCCAGTCTTTTTTCCGTAGAGGAAAATGGTGAGTTGCTTAGTGTTAATATATCTGGAGCTGAGCATAGTGTGCAGCAGTAAAAATGATGGTCTGAAAATAGATAACTTACTGGATCCAAGGGAGCTTGCTCTCCAGTGTTGTTAATTCCTTACAAAAAAACAGAGGACAAATCCTACTACCCACATTTGACAGATTGTTTCCACTCTAGGAGCTCTCTTACCTAGCAGGAGGTCAAAGTTCAGATTAGCAGAACTATGTTCCTGATAGAGATGTATTAATTGTGTTGGTAGCTTCCTGTAACCTTTTCTAGAAGCCTCAAACCACAGATGCTGAAATTTAAGTATTTCAACTAAAAAAAAATTCCCTCAAATTGTGTTTGCACAGTTTGGTACCTTCCTGATTTCAAAAGTGTTATTGCCAGTTTCCTTTCATAATTAATATATCAGGTAGGTGATTATTCATATGCCAGGAAAAATACAAAGTCAGAATTCTTGGTAAGTTTTAACCTGAAGAGAAGAGGCTACCACAGTGACATCTTGTATGTTATCACATACCCTGTATCTGGGGCAGTCAGGCTGTTATCATGAACATGGCAATGTCACATTTTTGCTGTGAAAATTGCAAATCTGAAGTAAGTGAAGGACCATGTTGGAATTTTTTTTCATTTCTTTTACACTTTCAGGTGGATCTTACACAGTGTGGCACATACAGTGCTTCAAGGATATTTATTTCATAACAAGTTCTTTGCTGTTAAACCTCTGGAGACAATTTACACTTCTCTGGCAGTTGGATGAATAAGCAAACCTGAGTTTTCCCACCTGCTTTATAGTTACAATACATCAAACTTTAAACTGCAAATTGGCAAGTATTGTTCCTACCCTCATTCTCTCAGCTAAAATTCCATATTGAGATTATTTGTGTTCCACTCACTATTAATTATTTTTTTTAATGTAGTAGGAAGAAGTTTATTAAGAGCTGTATCTACAGTAGAACTCTTAAGTTCTTTCCTGGTAAGTTATTAGTATCCTATTTATTCCTATAAGATTTTTTTTCCCTATGGTAGAGAGTGTGGCACAAGCAGTTCAAACTTCTAGATGATTGCCCAAGTAGTAAAGAAGAAAAGAAAACACACACAATATTCCTTGTGTGCTGCTGAACTAGGATTTGTGGCAGGGACAACATGGATGCGAGTAGCTGCTGTTGTTACCCTGATGTTGGATACTGCAGTTCTTTCCATACTGGTTTTGTATTTTTCCAGCTGAAGGAAAAAAGTCTTTTAAAGTTACTGCATATTTTGTCAACTCTTTCATTTTGACTCAGACCGTATGAAGGGCATACATAAAAGAAGTCTACAGAGAGATAACTACACTAGTTTTCAGTGACAAGGTTTATCTGTATTTTAACAGTTAAACCCACTATGTTAATAAAACAAGACTTCTGAACAATAATCCTGCTCAGTTTCAGTATTTTCCCCATCCCTCGTATTTTAGAAGAACACAAATAGATAAGCATTGTAAAGTACAGCTCCATCTTGAATAAAGTAGGCAACTAATTCCCAGCTTATAAACAAATCTAGCAGTTCCCTACATGGCTGCATAGCAAGATTAAGACTTAGTTACAAGGAGATACTGCAGCTGCTTCTCCCAAAATTTTTGTTAATTTCTGGGGGAAAAAATCACTTCTCATGCCAGAAGATGTCTAAATTTTACATGTAATTAAAAAATTTCTACCAGGCTCTATCGTTGGAGAGCAGGAAGGGCAGTAACATGTGCCTCAGATACAGCTCGTACACCCTCAGGCAAGCAGCTCCATTCCACTCTGCCTGCAGGATTCCAAAATCCCAATTGGGATCATTGCTACATAGGATAAAGGGAAGAATGTGACAGATACTTCTATTTTCCAAGGCTTGACATGGAGCACCATCTCTGGGGGGAAAGAGGAGTTAATCTTTGCAAGAACTACTGAAAACAATTTAAGTGTTGTGTGTTGTGTTGCTGACTGGTTAAAAATGAGGAGTGTTCAGACAAACAGCGTTTAACCTCTGCAAATCCATGGATCTGTCTGACCCTGTCACACTTATCAGTTTAAGAGCGTTGAATTATAAATGAGATGCCTGATGTAAAACAAAAGAGTCTCAGAATACTCCAGTATGTTGACCCAGTTTCTGACTGCCAAGTCAGAAAGAGTGTACAGCTACTACTCTGGGATCTTCCACTTCCCAACTCCAAACACACGAGACTACAGGATTACCTCATGAAGCTCTGCCTGTGAGACTTGTGCTGCATGATGTATTTAAACTTCATTATGTGGTTGGAGATAAGCTGTTAGGAATGAGAACAGAACAATTGTATTTCACTTTCCTAAGTGAAATTCAACTCTATTAAAGAAGTAATACTCTAGGTGAGATATTTTTGAAAGGAATTTGTTCTACAAAGTTTAGATAGTATTTCTGTACCAAACATTTAATTCAACAAAGGATTGGTTACATCAAAAGTGATCGAATTTGAACAGAAAGTAAACAAAAATGCATATTCAAGATAGTTTAATATGTATTTTCTGAATTAGAAATATCACTTTCTTAAATGAATGAGAATCTCTAGTGTAATGATCCGTTACTCCCCTCCCCCATCACTGAATTACATTATTTATACATATAATACAGAGCCGATTGCCGTTGAAAACAACAATATTAAAATAAATGTTTAATAGATACAAAGGATCTTTTCTCCACAACATAGTTTTTCTGGTGTCTGAACACCAATTTTAAAGTAATTCTCTATTAGCATTAAACTATTTAAGTGCAAAACAATTTTGTTTTAAAAAAATCTATGATTGCAGCATCCATCTTCCTGAATAACATTTTGAAGCCAGAAAGTAATGACTTTCATTTTCCATGAGTGCATTCCAGGCTGTCTTCTAGCCATCTCTGGTTAAAAAAATCAGTGCAAAATAAACAATGGTGAAGTACTAGTTTAACCATTGAACTTACTTGAATTTAAGAAACATATCTTATTTTACACTATATATATATATATCTTTTATTTATATATTTATATAGAGAGATTAAATTACACTGGACTTGAAAAGTATAAAGAAAACCAAATATGTTACTACTTTTTCCTGCAGCACCAAAGGAAGCTTTTTGCTTTTTCTCCAATGCAAACTCTTCCTTGGGTGAGCAGCCTACTAGGATCGGCTGTAGTGAGAACCCATTGCATTTGTCCTTTGCAAGTCACTATGTGATTCACATAATTCCATGTTTACACTCTGCCACATTAAAATTTGTGATGCTCTTTGCCTGAAGAACAGCTCCTGGTTCCACTGTCATTACTTCTTGTCCTGCGTTCAGAGATTTGCTAGCAGTAGTGTGATGGCTATACTACAGTTCCACTTGGAGAATTGGCCTGGTTTTGGGATGACAATAAACCCTGCAAACAAAGCAGTTTACATTAATCCAGCAAGAGAACCTGACATGTATTTTATAAAGTTCTTAACCTGAACCTACAATAAGTACAATTTATTTTTACCACCACTTGCTTACTCCAGACATCAGCACCTTCTTCTACACAGGCTCTAAGCCACCACGGTCTCAGCCAAGCAGCACACAAAGAGCTCTCAGTTGGGAACAAAACGTGTGCGTTTAGGACACGGAAAGGATCTGATCCCAGCATTTGGTTTAATCTACCTTGCACTTTTGAGTCATTGTGAACTGTGAAACTTTAAAAATCATCCACCAAAAAAGTGATCAGCATTTTATTAGGGCAGTGACAAACAAACCTATTCCACTATCAACAAGTTTGACACCTGACCGGACAGGGAAACGCTCCATCTCTTTTATGTGATCGAGTATTACAAGCTTTGGATAGAAAAATACATAATCTAACCAAATATTTGTTTTGGTGATTTTAAAAGAGAATGGAACACTGACAAGAGCTCAGTAAAAGTTTCCCATGACAATTCAAGCTCACATTCAGGAAAGCTTTTTACCAGCTGCTTTAAGCACCCTGCCATTCAAATCAAGAGAGACCTGTTCCATTTCAGACACAGCCCCACGACTGCGCGGCCCCCTCGCTACACAGGGGCTACTGCTCTGGATCAAGGCAACTATACCTATGGATAGACCTGTGGATACCAATGGACAGACTGCATTTCAGATTTGTGCACAGTAGCCCCTTTTTAATCATTCATGTAGAAGTAACTGTTTATCAGACTTATTTAGGAAAAGCTTAATATCAAAATACAATTTAGCGTTCTTTCAAGGTCATTATTTAGTTCTAACGAGTGCCAGCAGGCTGAGGAGCACTGGCAGCTGGAAGCACACCAGAGACTATCCCCATGCAACTCCTCACCATGTAGGCATGATAAATGCACTTTCAGCAACTCCCCTAAGCAGCTCCCATCTTAGGTCCTTACCTCAAAATTAGGATCCCGGGACTCAGATCCATCAAACTAGACAAGCTCAGGCAGCAATTAGCATACAAGTTAGAATTATGTCCCATCTTCAGAATCTACAGGAGCTCTTTCATGCTTGGATCCAAGAAATGAGAGGCCATGACTGATGGAAGAGGTGGAAAGAGGGCCAGACTGGCTGGATTCAAGTCATCAAGTTTCTACTAAAACCAAAGCCCTTCCTTTTAAAAAACCATCTGATCTACCAGTTCAGACACGTTATGAACCTGGATAGTTTGCTGGATTTATAGCAGACTCTGGATCTGTATACATGTGCATACATTCCATATTTATAATAAACATGTATTTCTAATAAAAGATGTGGCACTTAATTTAGTGCCCTCCATAGATCTCACCTGAAGGAACTCGGACACTCACTTTTATTTGTACTCAGGTTTATGCAGGGGTTTTGTGATTCTCACACTGCTGAGGTAGACTGAAGTGGGTTGTTTTTTGCACTTGACATTCAGGCTGTGCAAAGATACTGCATATTTAATGAGAACAAGAAGCTTCTTAGTTATTAGTTAAGGACTAGATGGTGAAAGAAGGCAGAACTTTAGAGCAAACAAGCCACTGAAGCACTTATGAAATTTTTTACCAAGGAAGTTTTGTTGGAAAGTGATGAGGATGAATCAGAACTCTCTAGTTCATTACTGAAGCATTCTTCACAAGTCTATTAAATCCAGCAGCAACTGGAAGGTCTTTCTTGCCAGAAGATTACATCCACTAAACAACTTTCAAGTACCCTGGAAAAAGACGTCCAAAGGTATTATTTTCAGTCTTTAACAAATCAGCAATCCAAACTATTCATATGCAAATATGTGCTTTATAAGCACACAGGAAGCACTAGGGATGGCATGATATCAAGTCTTTTTCAACAGGCTCATAACCACACTAGAGAGAGGGAGAAATAACCACTATCCTAGTATTGGATTTATGCTGTAACACAACTAGTTTTTGGGAAACAAAAGAAAGAGTCATTCATTTTCCTAGAATTCCTCTAGAAACTGGCAGCACATACTGAAATTCAATGCAGTGCCTTATTCTCCATAACTACCAGCCACCCTGGAATTCAAGTTCCAAATGCAGGAACATGGAGTCAGTCCTGGTTTCATCTCCCAGGCCACAAATGCTCCCTGCTTTAAAGAGCAGCAGTGCAGATGGCTTTGAGTGAGTCCTAGGAACTCCCACTATTTCAGTCCTTGCTCTGAATTAATTCTGCAACTCTGAGCAGGCAAGCCAGAGGAACACTGCTGTGGAAATGATCTCAAGATCAATATCCTCCTGCTCTTGCTGATGGAAAAAAACTTAGCAAGTCCTTCCTTAAAATGTGGGACCAGGCTACAACAGCCATTCAGAACTTCACTCCCACTGGAGAGACCAGAAAGTCTATGAGCATTTCCAAGTACTTCATTTCAAAAGACATATGTTCATATAAGAAAAGCAAGAATATCAATTTGGTTTTTAGGCACAGAAGTTTCACCAAAATGGTGAAAGCTCTTCATGTATCCTGAGAAACAACAAAGATTGTACAGAATTTTGCCATTATACCAGAGCCAAGCAAGGCTATGAAAGAAGTTATGTCAGGTGTAACAGGAAACTTTAAACACAATGTTAGAAAAGCAAGTGAGGGCTCAAATAAAATTATTCTTTTGCTACAAAGGTTGCCCTATAAGAGTCTGGTCTGTAATACAAAGGGTATGGGACTAGAACAGTTGTAATTGTGTTCTCTGGAATAATACAATGGGTAAGGTTATGAAAAATATAAAAAGCTCCTGCCTGTAACTAAAGAATAAAGCCACAAGGGCACAGTGCCTGCTGTGATGGAACCACCCAGTCTGGTCAACGAGGTGGGAAAAGATGGAACAGAGGCTGCAGCAACTTACTGGGGCAACAGCCAAGCTGCCCCATTGAACAGCTGTGACAGGAACATGGAAGAGCAGAGCATTGGCAGCCACAGCTCTGCCAGGCAGTGCAGCAGCTTCAGGCTCTGGGACAAACATAGCCCACTGAGAAAGCAGCACAAATAAATTAAGAGACTGCTCAAAAAGGTTTTGGAAATAAATGTAGTGTTGTAGTAAGTCTGTCAGCCCGTGGATCTAGCAGGGGGTGGGAAATGGAAGAGTTATGAGATACAAGGCAGGAATTTGATAAAACAATGTTCATCTCAACCTCGGAGGGTCCTCCAAGTGGGTGCTACCCCATCTGCCATCTTAGTGGACACTGCGGATGATGAACGACAGGATGGTGTCACTTTTCCTCAGTCAATGAGCACTGAGTACTGAACAGAGGCTGTGTCAGCAGTAGCTGCTGGGGCTATCCATGTTTCTCCATGCATTCTCTGACTTCCTGAAACACACAGGACTTTGCATACCTGGTAAAAACAGGCTTGTGTGGGTAGGAATGAAAAGCCCCAACAAACAGGATCGGGAGGGTCATTTGCACCCGAGGTTCAGGGCACTCAGAGCTGTGGTCTGAGGACCTGCAGCAAAGACAAACCCTCCTCCCCATTCAGGAGACTGCATGGGTAGGTATTTTTTTAAAAATTCCACATACACTCCAGATGAAAGTCTGGCTTTTTTTCAAAAGACATGAAACATAAGGTTTCACAGCAGAAACTAATTCTGTGAAAGATCAGCGTGTAATTGCTGCATTAAAAACAAAAACCCAGGAAGATACTATGATACTTCTAAGTGGGGAAAAAAGTCAACAGTAACTCCTGAGTTAATATTTTCTTCACTTAAATTAGAAGAGATTTAATTGGAGCCAAAGGTGCGATCATAAACGGCAAGTCTGGACACATGAGCGGGATACAGGAAGTGCACGTGCTCCCTGCTCCTTCACAAGGCTCTTGGCACACGCTCCCTTTGCCCTGGACAGGAGCAACTCCTTCAGGGAAACAGCTCCCCTGGCTCTCAGGAATGTGCTGGATGTCAAACTGCTCCTCTTTCTACTTTCTGTTTTGAAATTGAAAGGTATTGAAAACAAAGGGTTCAACGCAACAAACAATCCAATGTAAAAAAAAAAAGTCTCATAGAACACTTCACTAATGCAATTAAACCAATTAAAATATGGCTGAATTAACAAATGCCCATACAAAAATGGGCACTGACTTGTTAAACCATTTCTACTATTCCCAGTATTTGAAATAATGGGAATTTATTATTTGAAAAATATTCCATGGGTACTTTATTCTTATTTTGTTTAGCAAAGTAATCTTGACTGAGACCTTTGCTTGACAAAAGAGCCCACATCCATTACAGTATTTGAGCAATAATATGCCAAAAACAGAATGAGATTTCTCACATTTGTTTAAAATTCTGTAGTCAAATCAGCTGAACTGGTTTTAAGTTTTGCACGAACAAATTCTCCAACAGTTTCTTGTTAAATAAATGCTGATTCATTTGAATAAAAGTCTCTGAACTGTATATACTCACTAATTCAAGATGTTAATCTCTAATGGAGATAAAAGTGCTTAACTGAGAATGCTCAGGAAAGCACATGATGAACATTCACATAACATGCTAGAAATAGTTTGTATGGGATTTATGTATCAGCAAAGTTGATACCCTTTAGCAGTTTGTGCGTTCACTAAAAGGAATTTTAAATTTATTGTTTGACTTCCATTTGCTTTTTTTTCTTTGTTCTAACAGCATTACAGAAAAGTATAAATGCTTAAACCATTTGACACCAGACCTTATAAAAGACTGTAGTGGCTTCGAGGTTTCACTTGCAACTCCTCTTCTGTGTACATAAAAGAGGTTTTTTCCTAACAGACCTGTATCACCATTTTATTCATGGTCAACAAAAAGCAAAGTCAAGGCTGGTAGAAAACAAGCAGACTAACTAAAAATCTGTCCAGTGGTATTAGGCAAGATGACATCAAGAATAATGTATGGTTGGTGAACGGAAGATAGGCATGTCCAAGAGGAAAAAAAAAAAGTTAAGATGCAACTACTTGTGTGCTGGGAAAGGCAAAAAACGGCTTTTGCCAGCAGAGATCTGACCTGCCTGGAACAACAGGACCTTAAGCTTCACTTAGGTAGTAGAGGCTCACATGCTCAGGAACAGTTTCTCTAGTTTCCTCAAGCTACAAAAGTCAGTAAGGTGTAAAATTTTCAGATTAGAAAATAACAAAATTGAGATAAACCAGGGAAAACCTCAGGGAAAAGCATATGGCTTAAGGCAACCCCATTGGGTTTAGCTGTAAAGCGAATGTGGTCTCAGCAGAAGAAAAGAGGCAAATGAATTTGATAAGGTTGACCAGCAGCTACCTAAAATCCAGCTTAAATACCCAGAAAATAACATGATCATGCAAGTTATTTCCTTGAAAAGTTTGTGCAACACTATTAAAGACAAGCAAGATGACGCCTTCATGTTCCAAGACATCTTTTTGCCAAATCTTCTCTGACCACAAACCCTGTGGAAGTTGGTTTTGTTTCAGGCTCACGCTGACTTCAGAGAAACTGGTTTGACCAAGCAGTTCTTGCATCATTTGATGTAACTGGATGTTCCCAGAAGCTTTCAAGCAGATTTCATTTTGTTCCTATACTGGCACCTGTTCTTAAATATACATTTATGTTCTATGTTTAGATCATCACAGTGGTCAATCAATACCTTCTGAAGTACCACAGAGTTCTCAAGTTCACCTAAGAAAGATGATTCCCTCAGCTTTAGTCTAGAGAGTATTTTTACATAAGAGACAAACAACACTCCTCCCTGTCAGTCTGGGCCCAAAGTAACTCACTTTTACACTGGAAATCCTGAAAAATTCCTTTGAAACACTTTAATAAATATCATTTGTGTGGCTCTTTCACCGGTTAACACAGAACCACTGCTGCAAGGGTGACACAATCCCTAGTCCCTCAGGTGGAAGGAGAATATCTTAAGTCTTCGCCAAAATTGACTCCAAGAAATTTTGCAGCCAAAGTTTTATACTAGTTTACTTCTGGTTTGCTTGAATCAGCTCTATGAGCCACATCCTCGGGGCTGTAAATTCAGCATGCATTAGGTAAACACCAAGATCTAAAGCTGGAATCAAGAACAAACCCTGCATCAGAGTCCTCAGAGGAAAGAGCTCCTGTAGAGTCCTAGAAGGAATGACAACACACTGCTCCAGCTCCTGCCTGACAGGCAGAGAGAATCTGAACACGTGCGTGTCTGTGTTCTACTGAATCTGAGTTTAAACAAGTTCAAAAAGTGGTTTGCTAAGTATTCTGTTACATGTTACTCTAGTCCTAAAAAAATAGCTATCATAAGACATGACCTTATCAGCAAGATTTAAACATTAAAACATCTGCATCGTCTTGAGATGAAGTGAAACATTGACTCAGAGCAGTTACAGATGCCAACAACTTCTGACTTTAAAATATGGCAAGTTAACAGTTTCATTGTGGCCATTTGCTCAGCACAGTGTGATAGCATAAGACCACCTAAGGACTGCAAGATAAATTAAAACTCAAATGTGGAAAGGACTATTGAAAGTTATCTACATTTACAGTTCAATCACACATTTTTATTTAACATCAGTATACAGAGGACAACCCCAGCAAGTTATTTTGTAATGTCAAGTATTTAGTAAAGTTCTTCAGCTGTAACAGTGACAATAGAACAGCTAAAAATAAGCAGTATGAAACAAACATGATCTTCTTAAAATTATAAATATACCAACAATACTTCTTAAAGCTTAATTATTGCAACAGTTAAATTAACAATAGTTCATGTTAGAAAGGCTCTATGAAATTTATTCAAGTTGTCAAGAAATTAGATGGAAGTGTAAAAAGGAAATACATATGAATTTTACTTTTGATTTTCACTAAAGGTAGTCAATACAATTTTGTACAGTATCACCTAACATGTCAATCTTTAACAAACTCCAGTATACAGAATCATAAAATGCAGAAAAAATAGTTTAATCTTTACATGTAAATTGACAGTAAATTAACTGACACAAATTTTATTATTGTAACATAAGCAGGCCAGCATTTTAAATATTAATTTAGTAGCTTTATGTTGTTAAAGGGGCAGACATATACAGTCATTCCAAGTACATACTCAAATTTTAAGAGGTGATAATTCAGAACATGGGTTTTCTAGAAAGTGTTTAGTAAAAGTCATGTTATTTCCTAGTCCAGACATCCTAATCATAAAGCCTTTACAGGGTTATGATCTCTCCTGGCTTTACTGGAGCCACTATTCACACCTCCTCACTCACACACACACACACACCTTGCTATAAATATCACACCAGTGTACTAGGCTTTAATTCACCCTGATAATGGGGGTAGGCCATGTGCAACTTTGCTATTATGCACATTGCAGAAAGCTTCAAATTTTAGCATGGTAACCTGATGTCGTATAGCTGTGTTTCAGTTTTACTATAATCATCCCTGAAGTTTATACAGATACCGTATCACGTTGAAAGAAATCTATTTGATAGTACTTAAATACCAGCAATTGAACTTCAATTGTAATGATGAAATGCTCCTTTCCATTGAGGAAGAATTAGTATGTATAGCTGCTCATCTCACTCAAATATAGTACATGAATGTTTAAGTACTTTCACTAAAACAGAAGTCATACTAAAACATGATACTGTACTACAATTGTAGTTAACTAGAAAATTCAAGGATGTTATAATTTAAGTCTAAGTTTTCCTGTACAATAAGTCAAATAAATAAATTCCATGTGCATTTGTTTTACAAAGTGGTAGCATGTTTCTCTTGCTAGGTTATACACTGCCATTTCTCCTGGGGGTGCTTCTGGCCAATCTTACCTCGAGCTTTCTCACACAGGAAACTCATCAGCAACTTTCCTTCACGTAAAATGGAGTCGCTGCAAAGACGGTGAATAGTCAGTTCTAAACTCAAACATGGGAATCACACAGGTACTGCCTCTGACCACTAAATTCAGAAAAAAGCTGGTTTGCATGTCCAGGCACCACTTTGGTTTTTTGGGAGTTTTGTTGGGGTTTTTTAATTGCTTCTGCAGATCCTGTAATTCAGTCTGAATAAGCTATAAAGAGAGCCCATAAAGTTTACCTTGGTTCCTTTAAAATACTTTTGCTATGTTTTCAGATTAATCCAAGAGTTCTGTAATCCCATTTAGGTTTCCTATCAGGGCCTGGGAAAGGCAGGGGTGAGAGATGACAGCTCATTGTCACCACGCTGAGAAGAAAAGTTCATACTCTTGTTAAGGCAACCTATTTTTCTCACCACCTGAACCTTATTCCACAGAAACAGGTTAACAAAAAATAAGATTAAAAAACTGAAACTAGTGAACCCTGAGCCTCATCCAACTTGCTTCTAATTGAATTTTGCCATTCACTTCACCTCACTGACTGGGATTTCACACAGCAGTTCTGGAAGTGCAGTGCAAGAACGGCACATCCCGTGAGGAAGCTCAAGGTATGATTTTGGACACACAGAAGCAGTAATTTGGAAAGTTTAGAAACAAACTGCCAGGACACTGTCAGCACTGTACAGCCTATCAACTATCATAAGGATCATGGCTGAAGAGACACTTCTGGATTTATTTTCCACTCAGGGCAGCGCCAGCCCAACCAGAAAAATAAACTGAACTTGTCATACACTGTCCAATTATCCAACATGTCTTTTGATGGATATTGGAGATGAGAGGGAAAGGTAGGTTCAATGGGAATTACATTAGACACCGCAAGCCTCCTTCACTTTTCCATCCAATACTTTCTTTAGGCTGGCAGTGGCATCAATTTATTGAAGGCCTTTTGAAGGCAATGATGGAAACAGCAGCAAGATTCAGAGGCTTTCTCTCTATAGAGCTGGCAGACAAATAAGTGATGGAGATTTAAGATCATTTGGGGACCCATATTTCAAAGGAAGACTAGAAATAGCAACTTTAAACCCCAGAGTAATGGGACAGCCTACGATAAAGCAGCTGGTGAAACAGAAATGATGGTATATAACCCAGTAAGAAAGACATCACCATGAGTGTTTTATACTTTGACAATTCTCATTAAATAAAATTAAGTGCTTTCCTATAAACAAAAAGGATGCTCATAACGTCCTTCTGGCACAAGTATTTTCTTATCAAAGCCCTGTAAACATGCCCTCAAAATTTAGTTTTTACCAGCAGAGTGAGCTCACTAGAAATGCAAGTGAAATCAGAAAAACAAATTAATTTGAAAATTTCTAAGTAAATACATCCTAAACAATATGGCATTTACATCAGTGTGCAATATATTAATTTTGAAAGTGATAACTTCAGCATGAAAATTACTTACCTGTAATTAAAGTTTTCCATATTGGCCAATACATAAATCCTGATTTTTGGTACTGCATACTTTATCTCTGAAATATTTGAAATGTCATATTCCAAATCAAAGTCAATACACAAAAATATTTAAGTTATACTCAGTCTAACAAAACCCACCTCAGCCACTGAAAATAAATGTAACAATGTAGTGTTTAGTAGTATGCAAAGGAATTTTAGAACCAAAAGAAAATATAGCTCACAATAGCAATCTGAGGCACTGCTGTAAGCATCTAAAGTTAATTCATAAGATGTGAAGTGCACTGAGTCACAAAAGTATAACTGCTTTAGTATTTTCATTTAGGACAAATGTTTTAAACAGTTTAGTATTCTGAGGGGATGCTCTTTTTTTTTTTTTTTCCCCCTTCATTAATGCTGGATCTCTAGTTCTGAGACAAAAAAATACTTTTAGGTAACACCCTCCTCCCTTCTCCCCAGAAAAGGGTTTACAGCTTTTAGTTTTAGATTCAACTTTTAAATATGCATTAAGATGCAGAGCAGACACAGCTCTCTATGCATACACCTATGTTGTGACAAATTTGATAACATCTCAAAGAAACCTACATTATACAAACAGTTCTAAGAAAAATTGAGTTTTACTTGAAAGTTTATAGCAATGAAGATGTGGTATCTAAATATATACAGTACCTCCACTTCAAAAGTCAGATTTATGAACCAAGTGGTTAAAACCTAACGAACAACAGGTTTTCATTTAGGTTGCCCAACATGGCAATATTCAGGTATTACCAGATAATCTCTTTTACTTCAGGTGATAATCTACATCCCCTTTCAGAAATTTTCACCAAAATAATGGTCCTTGTTGCCAGACCAACTCTGGTAATGTTTTCATAGCTGTATTCCTTTGAACTGTTGCTGGCAGACAGAGCTACTGTAGCACAAAGTACTTTTTAACAAAAGAATCACCACATTTAGCTTCATTAAAAATTTAGCTTGCTATACATTGGACAGAAGGAAAAATAAAGTTTTATAGGTGTTCAAGTGCATTAACAACAAGAGTTAGAACTAGTAATAGATTTTAATGTAGGTTCAATTGATGGAACAGGTGCCATCAAAAGCACGAGCTTGTCGATGATCAAATTGCCTAAAACCTGACAGGAACAGAACACTGAAACTACTCAGAGAAAGCCTGCAGGATTTTATCTAACTTAAATACATAAATCAATACCTGGCTAAAATTAGAGTTTCTTGATAATACTGATTCACAATTTCAAGAACATAAGCTACAGTCAGTACAGGGCTCACAAATCTGTGCATAAAATGCCTGATGTTTGAATAAGAAGTGGTTTCACATTAATGGCAGGCCACCACAGAAAAGTATGAAGGAATAAAACACTTTGGCTTTAATTTTTTCAGAGGCTCACATTTCTCATTAGACTTAAAAGCAGCAGCTTTTCGTAAGCTACTCTCATTGGGAGTGCTGTATTTTGTAGAAAAAGTTAGTAGGATTATAATTATTTTAGTGTTTGACAGGTTTTACTTCAATTTTTACATAAACAGCTTTCACCATATTGTGGTTATGCTTAAGTATAAGAACACTGATCAATAGTTTAGATGCACAGTATTTATTTCTTCTGCTGGAAGGCAACTATACTTAATAATTGTATCCAAGACACTTCAAATCATTCAGAAATATGGCATGCAGTATCCAAAAGTATGGCTCTGAGGATATTTTTTTTTACATTAAGCATAAAGAAATTTTATATTCAACATTCATTTATATTTCAAGAAAACTATCTATTCAGAGTTCTAGTTCTTTGATGCAGCATTAAGGATTAAAACTTACCACTTTACCAGGCCTTGCCCATGTGCAAATAAATCCCTCCTGACAAGCAGTGACTATACAGTCTTCAAGAAAAATTAACACAGTCAGTCTTTCATGTGCTATCTTTTTACAGATAAGAGGCTCTAACAAGGGAACATCTTCCATTCGGGGACAGAGAGGTGTTCCCAAAGTTTTAGCTGGGTCCGTTTTGGTTTTAGTAACTAGGTTCAGTTTGTCACTGCTCTTGCTAGATATATGTCCCATGCTATGGTTTCTCTTGTGATCTTTTTCATGGTGTCTTTCCTTCCGATCATGTAGCGATAAGGTTGCAAATTTACTAACGCCAGAAGCAATGGCACCATCCATGACACTGCTTTTACTGCCAGCATTTGAGACTGCAGAGTGTGGAAGGCTGTTTGATCGTGGAAGAGGAGGGGGTACAGAGTTTCCAGGTGTTGTGATACTGTTTCCATTACTTCCCGGGTTAGTTCCACCACTTCCTGCAGGTGGACTTGTGGCATTCATGACATTTGTATGTGTCCTTGCTCTTGAGAGAGGTTGGTGGGGGAAGAGGATATCTTCTGTAAGATCCCACAAACAGAGCTGTGTGTCCTGGCCTACTGAACCAAATCTATATGTAACACTTACTGGACGACTGTCTGTAGAGTTCCTTTTGGATAATCTAGATTGCGTGCTATTGGCTCGATCTCTGCCAAAATGGAGGTCTTGGAAATCCTCATCACTTCCGCTAAATTCCATCGGGTCACTCTCTTCTACACTAGTGGTATATGGATCGAACGCAACGACACTGACCCACGATTTGTGTCCGTGGCCTCTCGCTATGACTCGACAGTCCACGAAAGACCAAACTGTCACCAAGTCATCCTCTCCGCCTGTCACTATGTACTTCCCATCGGGACTCCAACACACACACAGCAGTCCTCCAAAGTAGCTTTTCATTGTACCATGCAATTCCACCGAATCAAAGTTAAACACGCGAAGAAAACCATCCTGGCTCACGCACGCCAAGAACTTCCCGTCAGGGGAAAAGGCAAATTCATTCAGGGCACCCTCACCTACTGTCCATTTAAGCAGAGGGTTTCTTGTGGATTTACTCTTGCAAGTGTGCACTGCAAAACTCTCTCCTTGTTTAAGTAGCTGGTAGTGCGGGGCTGTGGTACCACAAGTGTGCTCCACGTTATACAAGTACATATTGCCACTGGAATGAGCTACTAGGAAAAGGCTTTCCGAACCCGGTACCCATTTTACACAGGTTACTCTGGACTTGTCTATTAGTCTCTGTGAAAAACAAAGAAGATACACATCAGAAAGTCTGAAAATTAAAGTTTTCATGATTAACTGTAAATCTGAGCTCTCTGGGGGATGAGGAACAATTACTTAAAGTGAACTCAACTTTCTAGACAGGAACTATGTTACTGTATTTGCAAAAACTTATCAGGCAGTAAAGAGGAAATTATTTTCAGACAAAGTACTTTCAAAGGTTGTTATTATGGTCCAGTCACATTCCACAAAGATCATACTTCAACCAAGCCAATCTGTTGCTATGAATCTGAGGGTAGTGCTCTTAGGTTTACTTTTCCCTGTGTAGGTTGAAGAACATGAAAATGGAACAAGAAAACACCGAACAAGCTAAAAGGGAGAAAGGCAGTTACTCATCTGTGTTATAGAGCAAACAGTTTACAAATCAACAACAGTAAATTCAGGTTCTGTTTTTATCTGAAATCACAAAAAAAATCCAACCTGTGAAATAAAGGCTTTAGGAGCCTCCAGCAGCTTTTACTGATTCAGGGAGCAAAGGCTACACACAAAGTGACCTTGTTATCATGTGGCTGGAAAGCCAGTAGGTAAATGCGTGTGGTTTGGTGAATTCAGAAGGTACCACATACTCTTCACCTTGGAATCCCCACCCTCCAATTTCTTTTCTTTCAAGAGCCAAGTACCTGCCAATACTGTTACAACCTGATTAAGCAGTTTCTTTTAAAGCAAAACATTTTTATAGAGTCTATCATTGCAAAAGAATGAACAAACATTAAACAAATGCTCCTGGTCACGATGTCTTCAATGCTCTAAGAGGTAAAGTTTGACTCCCTGAGTTTGCTACTGCAGTTCTGTTGGACTTCTAAAACTTACCAATTTGACCACGGCACCACTCAGCTGCAACTTGCAGACAAGTAATTCTTTACAAGCACATTCAAGATTTGTACTTGGCATACTGGTTATAAGCTGAAAGAAGAGCTGAGCTACACAAAAGGCAAGAAGGAAAATACAAAGAGCCGAAGGGATACCAGAAGAAGTTACAAAAGCCTTACAAACAAAGAAGAAAAAAGATTCCCCCCCAAAAAATCTTACTATGCTGTTTGTCATACAAAAAACCCCAAACTAATGGATACTACATTGATTGTTACATTTCTGGGCCTGTAACTGTCACTGGAAAGCAGCACCTGGCCATTTTAGATTATACTTTTCCTGCTGTCAAGCCTCAGTGTAAAACCAGTGAGTCTTTCTCCTGTAATTCCTCATTGGTTAAATTTGCCATGCTGTATTTGAGAGCTGAGAGATGTAACTAAATCTGGCAAATTTCCTTCAAATACGGCAGCTTTAAAGTAATATATTCTGTGATTCTGTTGTGATATGTTAAACAGCTTTTCAAGTGTTCACTGATATATCATTCAGGTCTCAATAATGATGATATCAGAAATTAGACACATCAGGAGAACACAGACAGGGAACATCAGCTCTCTGGCTTGCTAAAGGCAACAGTCTTCTCATCACTAATATGGCAGCAAAAGCAAAGTTTCTTGCTCTCCTCTACTGAAGCGGCTCAATCTGACATACAACCTCTACTTGGGAGAGCAGCAGCTCAACTTTTATACCAGAAATGGCATTTGACATCCATAATCACGTTGGGCTACATGATCCTAAATACTGCACAGAAGACCTGCAAACCTGATCTCTACTGCAAGGAGGTTGTAAAAAACAGACAACTGCAATTTGCAATGAGAACAGATCAGCTCAAGGAGACAAGATGCAGAGAGACTTTAAGTCTCTGTGCAGCAAGTGACAACTCATCCCCTTCTCAACCAGCAGAGCTTTAAATTCAGCAGGAAGATAAAAACTCTGAAGTTATAACTTTTAGCAGTTTAATTTTGTCACAGTTGGAAGGAGTACCACTGTTGATACAGACTGATTTAGGCAGGCAGTCACAAGCTGCACAGTATCACTCACCTCAGCCTTTCAAGTCCCTACTGTCTTCTACATCAACAGAATTTAAAAAAAAAAAAAAAGAGGAAGAATAACAAGTTAAAATGCTTTAATGTAGTCTATGTTTAACATAACCTTCTGTGTCATAACAGGTTGAGTTATTTCACATATCACACATGGTTAAGTGCTATCACAGGTGATAGTCCAAACAGAGCTTTGGGTTTCCTGAATCACCAAATTATTAACAGGACAGGTGGTGAATTCTATTACCTCTAGCACTAGAGCTAGAGCTGTTGAACGATGTAAACATTCATTTAGACCACCTTATGAAGAAATGTTTATTCTCAAACACTACCTAAACTCTAAATATATTCAAAACCCAACAGGCACCTTCATCTTGAAGCAAATGAACTGGATCAAACATCAGTGCTCACTAATGTTTCTCTGAAATGGCTTTTAGATACAAGCCAGAACTTAAAACATGTCCAGGGCAAACTTCAATACTGTAACTGACAGATTAAAAATATATAAAAGTTTTATCAGAGTTAGTTATAACTGCAGATAAGGTCAGTATAGGAAACAAGAATTTGTCATTTAACTGCAGCCTGTGTGCATAGTTTTTTGGTAGCACTGAGTAAATCCTTATGTTAGCCTGGTAGAAAATATATCACCTCATTTAAATTTCCACCTGTCAAAGGACATATTCCCACCACAGTGAAGTAACCTGGCTATAGCACAGATGAAAGGCAACTACAGTTCAGCTACAAGAGTTTGGGAGCTATTCTGTGATATGAAACTAGCTGTTCAAAGTATTTCTGCTCCCATTTGTAATACTTACACTATTATCACACAAGAATAAATCAGGTTGTATTTTTGGGGGGAGGGATGTTAGAACAATGTGCTAAAATTAACATTTCAACTACTTATACAGAAATTTCTAACCAACAGAGTACTCCATGCAACATTAAGAGATTCTCCAGCACTGTTTCCAACTCAACACAAGCAGAGAGACAGAGCAGTTGGGACAAGGCCAGGTAACAAGAAAAACACCCCTCTTCTGATCTACATGTAGCTACTTTTAGAAAGCTGAGGAGAAATTAGTTCTAATTATAAAACATCCCCATTGAGAACAATATTTCAATGTACTTTGCACAAAGAAGAAGCAAGGCAACACATCTCTCTGAGATGGCAAAGGTATATTTGCTCAGCTTGAAAGCTGAGCGATGTTTAACTTCATCTGCAAAGTTCTGATCCAGATCTGAAATTTCTAAAAGGAAAAGAAAAACAAACAAAAATCCCACAAACAAAACAAACCTGCAAACCCCTCCACAGCGCTGGATTAAAACACAAAAGGAGCAAAAGACCACCCCCTTAAAAGAAAATCACCTCCCCCAGACCACACAAATTCCTGTAGTTTATCTTGTGCAGAAAACATTGTCAAAAGTTGTCCCAGTTACCAGATTTCTTTCCTTGTTGGCATCTGGATGCTTACTCTTCTAAGAATGCCAATACTACAAGATAAGCAGAGCCAGTGGTCCTGTAACTTGGCATTAGTGTGCCACATAGTACTCCTTCTATCTTATTGCATAGCAGCAGAAAAAGCAGATGGAGAGTTTCCTTCAGGAACATCACATGGCCAAGACCTCATAACCCTTCAGCTTTTTCAATGCAGCACTCAGTTTGATATCCCACTCTTCTCCAAACAAGCCTTTAGGAATACTCAACACAGGCAGTTTCCACTGTAACATCCTGACCATAAAAATTGGTATTTTTAACTTATTTAACATTTTGACCATAAAGCATTAGTTAAGTAGGGGTTTAAATGCTTTTTTTCTTCATTGGCAACCAGAAGCCTCAGAAACAACTGACTGCAGAGCACACACAGCAACATTTAGATTTGTAGACCTTATTTCCATCAGTAAACTGTCATCAACTAGTTACAGTACTACTCAAATCAGAAAGTCCTTATTTAATCTTAAACCCCATAAGATGCCTTCATGAATAGCATTTTTGTGCAGGTATTCCAAGCCGATGGAACAGCTGAAAAACAAAGGCTGCAACTGAACAAGAAGCTACATGGGCAAAAGGAGTCAGCTACAGAACTCTGAAAATCTAGGAACTTCAATATCACACACACAGTGCATGCAACAATGTTAAGATTTCTACTTACTTCCTCATTAAATAATTTGCTAGTTTCTTTTTTAATAGGGTCTATAAGCTGGACCTGGCCTGCGGAGAAGCCCACTAGAAGAGACACACTTTCTGCTGTGGCTGTTAAGTGATTGAAGTCATGGCATGTAGGCTGTGTTCCTTTGTATATCCTTTTGTCTATTGGTTTACTCAAGTCCGCAGCCTGCAAAGAGAGCAAACAGAATTAAGACAGTTTATCACAATGTGTGCACATAACCAGATCCATTTGAAAATAATATTTATACTGAGCAACAACTTACACAGTCACGAAACCCTACTTTAAAAAGCAGCTGTTATTTATCGAAGACATCTGAGATCTTGTCAAAAGGTTTATCTCTTTATATTATGCAAGTTGTGTTTTTCAATTTTGCTACAAACTATACCCGCCCTTGCCTTTGCAACTACAGCACGAGACAAACCAGTGACAACCACTCAGCATTACAAAGGCTCCTGTGAATCCTCAAGATCCCAAAAGTCTGCTCCTGCCAGAAGAGGCATTCCATCCAAGAAACAAGGTATCTTCTATTTTTCTAGTAGCAGCTTTCTTGAGTACAACCAATTCTGCATTAAAAATAGCATATTCTCAATCACACAATTCTTGAACTGTATGTCTATCCTTTAATAACAGGCAAACATGCAACATTGTGCTCCACAGTTACAAAAATATCAACCAGATCCTAGGAGAGCATTTTCTAGGAACAGTGATTCAAGATGCTGATACTGAGATTATAAAATACATTTTACACCACTGAGCTTCAACGTAATTGTGTGTCTGACACTGAAAAGAGAATTCAAATATAGCTCTGACAAAATAAGTGCTAACAAAACTGAGGAACTTCAATATAAACAAATGAAGATCTAGCACTAAAGTGTCAGAAGAATCAAAAGGAACAGAAAAGCAATTTAAAATGCTCTCTCAGTTGTGTCACCCATGTTTATCCCCATATCTCTTCTGAACAGACAACTAAATCTTTCATCATCCAGAGATTAAACCCCCCACATTTAATATGCAAGATCATACATCAGGTTCAACCTTGTTTTTTTAACCTCCCTATTTATGAGGTTCAGAGTCTGTAATTAGAAAGTTGCAGATACTCAACAATATTACAGGCCTCAGATGTAGCTGTGATTTGGGGCTTGGATTTTAATTTTGATATATACTTTTTCAGTATTTTTAGTCAGAGGAAATCAGGCCAGAAATAAAAGAGAGAGCAGACAAGCCTCACATAAAGAAAATTGCTCAGTGTATTAAACTTTTGAGGACGAGGTCTAAAGAGCAGCAGATCCTTGGTATGCATGGAGCTACACAGAGACAAACTAGACCTGTCAGTAGGGAAAAATCCTACCTAGCTACTGAGGTGAGCCATTTCCAAGGCAAATTTTAACTACAGGATATGCATGATAAGCACAACAGTGTTAAAGTTGCACTTATGTTTTACAGCATATATTATAAACCAGTTTAATCAGGTGTATGGCCTCCTGTTTGAAAACTCCAAAATGAGATGATGTATTACAACTTCTAAAGTCAGCAGATTAAAAAGCTACTCTCCAGAGCCCAGAGATCCATTATAAGCTAAAAAAGTATATTACCAACACCTCTTCAAGGAGAAATTAAATAGAATACTAGTTCAACTGGGAGATCCCTGGATAATGCGCATGTCTAGCACAGAGCATTCACAGACTGATGTAAATCTGTAATTTGAAGCTGAAAGATCAAATCCTAGAGGCCATGCAGTTATATCTTAAACTGTGTAACACTCCCTTGTCCTGTTTTGTCACTACAAAACAAGTGATGTCAACAGATAACTCTCAAAATTGAGGTAGCATTTCTATCTATCTGGAAGACCATTCTACAGAAACACAGAGATACATCCCTCCATATCTCCAATAAATGCAGAATTAAAGCAAACATATGAGACCCAAGGTTCTGTCCTTGGGACAAAAGTTGCAGCAGGACCCAACGTCTAAGACTGAAGATTCATTCTAGAGTAAAGAGAACCCAGCCTGGATCATCCTGAATGACGAGAGAACCAGACTCCCCCAGACAGCAGAGGACATGGGTATTCCCAGGTTCTTCTTCTGAATCCTCACTATCCCTTTAAGCAGCAAAGAATCAATAGGTGGCTATGTTCAGACTCTAACTATACCTTGCTCTTTAGTCTGATTGAGGTTTTATATCACTAGCTTTTGTTTTTGTTGTCCAACAACTTTGGTGTGCCTAAAGTTCCTCGTCTTACAAAATTGTGTGGTAACACACACAGAGCAAGACATGAAAGTCTGATAAATTAAATCTAAGCACAGATTTCACTGTGCTTGTTCTAGCTGTTCTCTGGGAACCAGATGGCAGTGAGAATCTGTCTGAACTTAAATGGAGTATAAATAAACTAATTCAACCCAGAATTAACCAGGTTTCTACTGACAGGGATGCCCCGCCTTTTATTTCCATGCAGCTACTGCTACAGTACAGTTGTCTCATGGAGATAAGTCACATCTGCAAGCACAGAAGTATTCCTTTGGTCTAGATTTCTCCTAACTGAAAGAGCAGAATCAATGGGTGTTAAGAACTATGAGACATTTTCTGTGTTTCTGCACGGCTGAAGGTTGCTGTTGGATTTTGCTAAGGACAAGAAAAGTGCTTACTCATAAAATTGAATTGTGCCTGGGACTCAGCAATTCATTAGCTCACCACTAAGTCCATTTGCTCTTTTGTGGAAGATGTGATTCTCAGAAAAGAGCTTTTACATGAGACCTGCATCTATAACTGTCAAATCCTAGGATCTGACACTATTTACTGAACAAGGTGATATGAACTGCCCCCTCTTAGAAGAATGGTGATGTACTTTGAAAAAAACCAGAAAGATCCTGAGATTAAGTGTTACCAGACATGGAGGTTAAAAGCACAGGTCCAGGCACCCTCACCTCTACTTGAGCTGGCAGCAGGCTATTTGCACACTTCCTGTCCCAGTGCCTTTAAAATTTTCTTATGGAAAACACTCAGCACTATTCCAGACTGTGCACTTTTAGAAACCTGCTCCATTGTGGATGATTCATAATGAGAGCAACACTTTGTAACCACGACTGAATGCAGCCTGGGGCACCTAATGCAAGTCTAGGAATGAGCACCATCCTCCCTTACCTGTGCAAGCCTTGAAGTCCATCTCAGCTAATCAAGGCTGGTACTGGCACCTTGGCCAACTGATACCTGCACTAAAAGTCTGTTCCTCTGTATAGGGGTACTGCAAGTACCCCCTGGGCAAAGGAACAAGGAATAACAGTTGTTAGACAACAAGAGGAACCTCACACACCTGTATCAAGTCAGTGATACAGCTGAACAAAATCAGGGCACTTTGGGCATCAACAGCTTCCGAGTCCTGTCTCTGAACAGATTAAAACTGTATCTTAGAGAGCCTTACACTTACTCACAGAAGAAAAATTGACCAACTTGCCATTTAGGTTTTTGTGATGAATTCCTACTCTAGAAATAAAATATGAACCATGTAACTGTTTGGGGGACTTCCTAGTCTCATGTAGTTAACTCTCACAACACTCTAATTTAGCAAAATTACTCCTACTCTCTTGGGTAGGGAGGGAGGAAAAAAATAATAATCTAACAGTCAGTAGCCCATTCACCCTGGATTCATGACTTCCACTAGAAAGGCAGTCAAACTGAACATATTAATCACAGCTTTAAGTACATAAACATTAGGAAGCAAATGGCCAAAGGAAAAAAAAAAAGTTTCCTTAGTCTGAAGCAAATATTTAAGTTTTCAGATTCTGATGTCTGATTAGGATGGGCACCAATAACCTTGGTTCTGTAGCTGAATGTAATTCTAAGGTCAGAGCCAGATTAATATCTGTCCAAGATTCATTTTATTGATCCAAGACTTAGAGCTTTCATAACAAGATTGTCTAAACAGTGAATCACATTATTTCAAGTCAACATTTAATCATGCTCCTTGACAGATGTAATTTCTTCCTGTATCTCTTCTTTTCCTAACTTACATTTGCAGCTTTCTGCAACTTTTACTTAAAAGAAATGTGTCATACATGTTACAATTCCTTCCAAACTCAAAAACATCTCCAAGATCATAACAAAATTGTTTATTAATTTCCTTCAGGTAATTTCGACTGTAGTCATCAAAATGCTTCCTTCAGATACTTAGTAGTATTTAATATCACATTTGCCAGGAGACTGGCTTTCAGTGGGTCACAGCTGCAAGACTGAGACAGAACAGTGAGGGCAAATGTTAAACAAAAATTTTACTGCCAAAAAACCCTCTTGAGAAGGCTGTGGATGTTATAATGCTGTATAAGTAACAGGAGAAATCAACTGTTAGAATTATTACTAAGTGAATTCCATTGAACTTCACAGATGCTCTTTAAAACCCAGCTGAAAAAAGAGAGGCAAGGAAAGCCTTGCAGCAGCACTTTGCCTTACAGAGTCTCCTAGTGAACAGGGCAGGGCCTTCCCAGACAGACTTGCTCACTGCATTAGCAAGGACAGGAAAACTAAGCCAGAAGGCCCCTTACAGCTTGTTTATTCCTCCTCCATGTCTGTGCTGGTCTCCCTCTCCTTCCTGCACAATTAGACAAAGAACAGAGAAAGCTGAGGAGCACAAGAAAGCAAAGTTATCCCAGGCACTTTTGTAGAACTTTCTGGCAAAGTCTGTTCATTGTTTCTGTACATGAATCTCTGCCAGAAATACCAGTTTCAATACTTCACACTGGAAATCTCTCTAATTACTTTATTATCAAAGGAGTAGATTTCTAGGTATTTTTTTTAATAGCCCAAATACAGATCACTTAATATTAGCAACAGAATAATTTATAGTTACATCACCGTTGTTTCAAGCTGGTCTGATTTCACAGCTGCCCCTGCTCTGGGCAGTGTAGACTGGACACTTTTAGAAGTCCTTTCCTATCTGAATGACCCTGGGATCCTAAGCTTAGGATCAACCAAAGCAGCAACATGGCCACTCCCAGCTTACTTAACATGTCTGGTTTATGTCTTAAAGGAACTTCAGGAAGCAAAAAAAACCTCCAGGAACAAGCTGGTTGTCTTTCCCTACAAAAAACCACTGATGTAGA